GTTCTATGTGCACCTGATAGCAGCCAGTAATGCGGAAACAATACTTAAAGTATATAGCTGTCTAAAACTAGTTTCCAGGGTATAAATAACGGTAAATAATTAAATCAATGAAATAAACTAGGTTTATTGAAGAGAAAAAAGTCTGTATTTGTATAAAGACCTCAATATCAAAACACCACGTCTGGCCTGCCTACACATATATTTTTTCTCTCCATGCTCTACATCCAACACAAATTAAAATAGACACTGTATTCTGACTTTAACACTGTTCTTCTCAACTATAGTTTTAACAGTTAGAGTCATGTGTGTGTTTAAATGTCAAACTAACAGTAATCAGAGCTCCAACAACACGTAACCCACTGTGCTGTTACAATAACTTGATACTAAATTGGAGAACATACATCTACTATTATGTACTACTATTGGCATTCACTGTGTATTTTAGCTGGATAAACTGCTATATGCTCAAATTTACATATTTTCAGAGTAACATTTTGAATGGAAGCTTCTACCAACTTTTAATTGAGGTGATTATGACAGCTGGAGCTAAAAACTTTGTTTCAGAGTGTGGACGTGGCTGTATGTCGCTGGTGCTGAGAGGGAGCGGAGGCAACCGTGTAATCCCAGTCATTAGTGGGTTTTAACAGGATTTGGTGCAGCTACAATAATGGAGACTCTAGTGGCCTCCACTGCGAGACCCAAAGAGACCCGACAGGGAAGAGTTGCGCCACAGAGGCCCGACTGTTCCAGAGGACTCGCCCGAGAGAACGTAATCTGGGTGTTTGAGCGTGCATGTTTGTGCCTTTGTTTATTGTTTGTGTCTCTGTGTGAGTGCTAACGCCAACCTCAAATTTGGGTTTCGTACACTCTAAAACAGCTTCCCTGCCCTCCGTCTCTCACTGCCCCCCCCACACACACATACACTCTCTCTCTCTCTGGTTCCCATGCTTCCCAGCCCCAGAGGGTGTAAACATAGTGTGGTTGGTGTTACCATGGTGAAAGCCTACTGAGGACCAGGAATGGCGACTATGCCCTGCATGTGGAGAGACCAGTGGCATGCTCGCTATACAGTAACAAATTATCTCACATGCACACACACACACACAAACACACACACACACGCATGCAAAATGATGCATGGAGTGTCTGCCTTATTCTATTATTGTCCCTTCCCCGCAAGTCTTTAAATCCTATTACAAAGACAAAGTCAAGTTTCTGCATTTTTCATCATTTCCATCCATAACTTCGATATTGTTTAACATTAGGTTGCTGCGATCTTGGAACTTAGTGACTTTGATGATAAAGAAGTCAAACAAGATGAAAAATGCAAGCAGTCAAATAATCATTTTTTGAAACCATGAAACATCCATCATAGATTACAAACCTACTTACTTCCTTGCTCACTTTCAAACTGTTGCAATCCTGTAGTGCACATATACTATTCTTTACAACATTTTGGTAGTGTTCACTTTCGGCTTCACTTCCATATGAAATCGCTTATATAAGCGGACAAAAATGTAAACTTGTTTAATCCTGTACAAACGTCTGACGACTCAACACTTTTCCCATTAGACTAATCGGAACTCATCAAAAACTTTGAAGACTGCAATGTTATGCGAACTGATAGAAATGATCTCAATTACTACATAAATAGACCCACTTTAGTTAAAAAACATGAAATCCCATCTTAACTGTACTCTGCAATGCTATGTATAGATTCTGATAAAGGCCACAAGCTGAAACACGTTGATCCCACAATATAGTTTTTCTTTATACTACAAATGCTGCTGAAATATTGACCTTTTCAGCTGATGGAGTTCTTACAAATAATAAATAAAAACACTTCTCACAAAGGTAGAAGTCCAGGAACACACACACGGGTTACTACTGGCATCTTTAGGACTGACAGCAATGAGCTTTATATGTTAGAATGAAGATTAGAGTTTGGACAAGTCTGCAGGACAGCTACATGGCTTGTGGCTTCAATAAAATCTATTGATTAAACACACACACACACACACACACACACACACACACACACACACACACACACACACACACACACACACACACACACACACACACACACAGTTACATGACATGGCCTGCTCTGGCTACAGCTGTACACCCACACACCCATATTCATGTTCACACCCTTGCACACAGAGATATTTTTAGTGATCAAAATGATAAATCTCCCACTACACTGTGATGAGTTCTGCTGTACATATTTCAACCTGACCATGAAATATGGACTTCTGGGATAGGAATCCTCCTGTGTCCATCTCTCAGAGCCGCATCAAAAACTGTTTATTGCTTTTACTGAACGTGACTCTGCTGCTAAACACCAAAACATGACAGCAGACACATAAAGCCATGAGCTGGGACATGACGTGTTTTATGTTCATTACCCATCCTTTAATAAACATCATATCTCAGTTCATCCTGGATAATATACAGCTGATTGCTTGCTACCATAAAAATGTTTGAAAGTGCAGCTGCAAATAAGCCAACTTGGTACAAGGTTGAATCACACGTTCATCAACAACTTCACTAACAAAACCCTCTTGCTGTAATTCACATCTATTTTTCTCAGTGTGCAAATGCATCTTTAACGAGTGACATAAAGAGGAACTTATTATGCATCCTTCATTTTAAGAGCAGCGATTTGATGAAAGTGAAAGAAATCAACACTATACTCAGTCCAATGCTAAAACTGAACAAAAAAGATGTTTTTGAAAGCCTGCATATAGAAAGACAGCTGTCTGGTATCGTATCAGCGTGTACTGCCCCTCTGGATAATGCACCTGATGGAAACTGAGTCATGGTAAGGTCCAGAATATAAAGGGACGAAAATAGTCATGAACTGAATTCATAATCACCGTTCAATATGAGTTTGTGGGCTAATCATATTTTACACATATTGGTAAAGCCCTGACCTTATTAAAAGAGGCCATTTTCTTCAATTACTGCCCACATATAATGCCTGAAAAGGACAGCAAAAAGAGCGTCTGATTCCACTCAACCAATGCATTTGATTCAAGGCTCAAACCCAAGGATGAATTATCAATGACTTCATCTGTTGCTGAGTTTCTCTGTTGCTACAGAGACGTGCCTTATTCCCTCTATGGATTACCACATCTCACAGCTTTAAAATCTTCTGATTCTTTTGCCAGCACCAAAACAGGAGCCAAAGAGATTTAATACACTGAGCAGCCATTCAAAAAACAGTCTGAAACAGTGTTGAGCTTTGGACTGCGTTCACAGTGGCCATCTGCAAGCTGCTGCTGCACACCAAGAAGAGTGGCTCACTGGTCTAGAGGCATGATGGCAAGGCTGTGCGATGCTGGCATCAGAATAAAAAAGTCATTTAACTTGACAAGCGTCGTAAAAGCAACTATTGATGTTGCCTAGTTTTTTGCCTGCCGCACTGTTCGTTGTTTCATGACTCGTGACTTGCTGTGTAGACTATTGGCTCACTTTCACATTGATTTCTGAAGTGGTGATAGTCTCCTCTCTTTGCCTTGAACTGTTTGTCATTTAACTTTAACATGTCTTTATCGATATCCTGTTAGTGACCATGGATATGTGTGCACTGGCCGTCATTTGTGTGTCCATGTTATCGACTCAAACATTCTTCTCTATGTCAGGATCAATGGCGGTCATCCGGCTGGGTCTAATCTGAGGCAGCCATTCCAGTTATTCAGGGGTCAAATACCTCGGGCCATGTGTCAGAATTCCAGTCTGCTTCAAGAAAGTATGCAAATGTAGGACCAGCGCTCCAGGTGACCTCACACACACACACACACACACACACACACACACACACACACACACACACACAAAAGCAGCCACCTCCTTCAGCCACTTAATTTGATATGCTTGGGAGGAAAACAAAGAGAGACCCCTATTGTGGCTTTTAACAGTATCCAATCAAGCTTGCCACTCAATTAGCCATGAACGGCACAGAACAACCACATAAGGATCCATTTTATTAAGCGAGTTTCAATGCTGCTGGAACATTGAAGGAAAACCTGCCTGTTGAAGCTTTGGACATGAACCTGTGTTTACAGATTGATCACTCTGCATGAGGTGAAGCTGCATGAACATAACATAATAATGACAAGAGAGAAGATGAAATCAATATTGGTTTGCTCCATGTCTCCAGAAGGTGTTATTGAGTTATATTGTCTTTGAAAGATGAGTCACACTAAATTAAAGACATGCAGGTGAAAAACGAAATGATTGATGGACATAAATCAATAAAGGTAGGTGACACCCAAGTGGGTAAAAAGACATCCAGGCAGAGGCACAAAGACTTTTTTTAGAATCGATTTGCAAGGGCAACCTGGCTGCCAACAAATGAAGAGACAAAATGCCAGTATTATTCGTGTATTATTGCTTTCGACTAAACGCTGTATTTAGAGCATAAATGAGGATTATATCAGGTCGTCTTTTCTTCAACTGTTGTTTTCATCTGTATAAGTTTGTGGGTTTGTGTTGGTGTGAGTGTGTACGTCTACCTAGGGATTTAAAAAAAACAGGCCACAGGTCTGCAGGGACATAGTACAAGGTAAAAGGGGTTTTGGCAGAAGGCAAGCCCAACATAGAAAACAACAAAGAGGTAATGAAAGAAAAAGTCCAGACTGCAAAGTGCTTTAAAGTCTCAGCATTCTGCTCCGAATTAGTCCCTCATGAGACCAGAACTTTGAAAGAGAACAGCACCACAGGGCTCCAAAGTTAAGTATGCTAACCTGACATCTCACAGCACTCAACCATTAGCAAGTTAAAACAAGTTAAAACTGGTAACAGTTGATGAAAATCATTCATCATTCAGTAATCCTAATCTACAGTGGCTGGCATTTACACTCCACAAAGAAAAGTACTCAGAAATGGTCTTCTTGAATGTCTCTATGTGTGAAATAGCAACATCATTTTCTATTGTATCTCTTTTGTATAGATATATACATAAATCTGAACCAATAGGTCTTATCACTTACCTGGCAGCAATGTATAACGTCCTGTTCATGATCATGATGAGCTGGATGTCCAGTTTGTGCCGCTGCGTGTTGTTCCTGCCAGGTTTGTGGCCAACAAACGCTGGATACTGTTTTGTGTCTGAAAGGAGATGACATAAATGAATCTCTGTGTGTGTATCGTTTATAAAAGCAGTAATTGTAGTAATAATGACATTTTATTTCAAGTTTCTCATTTACTTTAGGTCAAATGTCAACCCATGTGTCTTAGCTGGATGAAAAAAAACACCACACCATCACAGTTGTTGGCTTAGCTCCTCTAGTGACCATAAATTGTAGACTAAAACTTTGCTGCACTGTACCATGCAATTTTGCTATTGCTAGTGGCTCAGGATGAAAGCGCTTAATTTGAAAAAAAACACTCTGATAGAGGAGCAGGTCTATGTGAGGCTGGCTGGCCTCGCTTTCCGCTCTCCTGGCCAGCGGCGTTAGGTGCAGCGTTAGGTCCAAAGAGCAGGACGGGGCAGGATGGAGGGAGACACAAAGATAAACCCAGAGAGGAACAATGGCCGCGTCTTTGTAGCCTGCAACAGCATTTACACTATCACATACAGCATTAGAAGCCCAACAGAAAAATAACGGATTATCCTTTGATGTAGGGTGGGCTCCGTTTCAAATGCTGCTTTAAGTCCTTCATTTTAGTGTGTGACGAGGGCCTATCCTTGGGCGCCAAATTACACTCCATGCCTCCAAAGTGCATTCAGTAAAGAGGGAGGTGGGGGTTGCAGAGGAAGCAAGGGTTGAGAGGGATGAGGCAGAGCAAAAGGATAAAACGAGAGAGAGACACTGAGAAGGGGGATTTGCGAAGGGGAAGACAAAGAGGATAGGGAACAGAGTGCAGGGAACAGAGTGCAGGGAGAGAGCAAGGGAGGACTCGTAATGAGAGGAAGGACAGTGTGCAAGAAAGAAAGAAAGATGTATATACTTACAGTTGCCGTGTGAGATGCTAATAGGCTCGCTGTCTTCGGGGAAACCCGCCCCGGCTAATTGCAGTAGCGTGAAGTAGAGTAACAAGGCCTCTGACCTCATGGTCGCACCAACACTGCTGCTGCTGCTGCTGCTACTGCTGGTCCTCTGCTGGTGCTAAAGATTTACCTCAGCCTGCACAAAGAGAGAAAGAAGTGGTTAGAATATGAGGGAGGAGATAGAGAGGGATGAAGGAAATATATGGGGGGATATAAGACAGGAGGAAAAAACCAACAGAAAAAACTAAGTTTTTCAAACAAATCTGTTTTCACCTGACTGCCTCCTCAATTACTTTTCCTCCACAGTTTCTGCATTCTTTGTGTGAAACAAAGAAACACAGAAGCATAAGGGGGGAGAGCGAGGAGAGGCAGAAAAAGAAAGTAGTTAGCCAAACAATTTCAAGTCCACCTGAATAAGCTGTTTGTGCAATTTGCACAACCCATTTAAATCTGTCAGAGATATATTTATATATGCATTTTCGATGACTCAAGTGAGCTGTGTTGCAAGCGAAACAGAATTAATTGGATTATGGTGCTAATATGCGTCATAGATCGATGTCAGAAAGAGAAAATCTCTGTGCCTCTGTCCCTCTCTCTCTCTATCTCTGTATGTGGCAGGGTCTTAGTGAAGTGGGTGAGCTCTTGTTGAGATTAGCCTGCTCTAAAGTATCGGCAGTACCTGGAGATGGGGCTGGGTGGTTTGGCAAGTACCTCATTTACCCACTTGTCATTCACCTACAAGGGTAGCGATTCCACATCATAACTTCTAAAGTCCGATGACCACCATCACATTGGAACAGTTAATAAACTCCCTAATTCACCACAGGATTGGTTTAACCTGTTTAGCCCTGAGCCTGTTTTTCAGGTCTCAGGCTCGAAAATGACATTCCCAGAACAAATGACTATATCTTTACTTCTAAAAGGGGTAAATTAATAATTTTTTTTCTCAAAGCAATGATAACCCTGTGAGTTGGATGTAGAAAAGTCAGAATCAATATATAATTTTTTTTATTTTAAAGTAAATTCAGATTGAACCAAAAAAAACATTACTTATAGTGAAAATCACCCTTGAATGATGGGATAGTAGACTAAAAGCTTTAGGAATCCAAACTATAACATATAATAAGTACCCTGTATCAAGATTGATGCAAAACAAGTGACATTTGACCTTTATAGGGAGGTTTAGCTAAAAAAAAAGAACTACTTCTGGGGCCATTTGGGTGGATTTACCATATCTCTGGCCCCCCTCGGTCGATTTTGATTAACACCTCTTCTGAACCGTTAAGGTAGGGACACACCAAGCTGACAGCCATGTGTCCACTGGAACACACCGCAAAGACTTCAGCCGACGGCCAAGTTGCACGTACGAACTGCGCATGTGTGAGTGGCAATAACTCTCCTTACCAGCAGGCGGCGGTAGTGTGTATTCGTCATTCAAAAGAGGCAACAACCGGAAGACAGACTGCGTGATAACCGAGAGAAGAAGAACAGACTGCGTGATATAAACAAACAACAAATAGCGTGTTCCATTTTCCCTCTACAGCGAGAAGCTCACGGGGCTTTCCCCAACCTGTGTCGAAAGCTGGAGTTAAATGAAATCTCAGATTTGCCATCTTAATAGTTTGTTTGGGTCCCTCGCTTCCGTTTCGCTTCTCATGCACTGATTTGCTAAGCTGAACAGCCAATCAGAGTGATTTTATTTTGCCGACAGCCTTTGGCCGATTCAACATGTTGTTTTTGCTGCTTGCACTGCTTTCTAACGCTGTAATTTCAATCATTGCATGTTCATTTATTGATCTTCACACAAATATTTGATGGGATAAAATGAGGAAGTGATTTGGTTTTGGACCACAAAGAGGTCCAAAACCAAATTTTATATGTTTAATTACTCAGTTGAAAGGCTTCTTTGGAATTACATTTGAAAGGTTAATTTCTTACATGGTAATTGAAAATTGGCCACGGCTTGTTCTGTAATACTGACTTTATTTGTATCCATCGCGTCAGCCAATCCAAATAATCATACACTAATTATTACAAATGAATACGCATCTAATTGAATAACATTGTTAAAAACGGCAACTTGACTTTTATGGCAAACAACCATAAACCAATAATCTTTTGTATATATTTTGCAGATTATTCTGTGTGACGGCTTTCAAGATTGGATATTGGAAGCTGTATTTATTACATTGCATGGATTCAAAATCAATGTTAACTAGGGGTGTAACGGTTCACAAACATTTCGGTTCGGTACGTACCTCGGTTTTTAGGTCACGGTTCGGTACGTTTTCGGTACAGCAGAAAAAATTATCACAAAACATAAAATATTTTTAGTTTTTTTATTATTATTAAACTGTGAATAATGTACTCACTCAAATAAATACAAAATATAATAAAATAAACATTTAAGGTGCAGCATTTCGATGAACTGAAATAATCTGTATTTGAACTTTACTGTACTAGTACTCACAAAACAAACTATTAGTTTGGGGGTTTTAATTTTTCTTTTTTAATGAGTGATTATAAATGCCATTTTCTTAATGTCTTTCATTTTTTGTATAGCACTTTGAATTGCCTTGTGTTGAATAGTGCTATATAAATAAACTTGCCTTGCCTTAATTATTATTAAACTGAATATTGACTCAAATAAATACAAAATAAAATAAACATTAAGGTGCAGCATTTCGATGAGATGAAATAATCTGTATTTGAACTGTACTGTACTCGTACCTAAGCAGCCAGTTTGACATTATGACTTGCTTGTCATTGTATTTTCATGTTTTTTTTAATAATGAACTTGTCCACATTGCTTGCCGAAAGGGCAGATCTGCTGGCACTAACAATGTCTCCTGCTGTGGAGAACACTCTCGCTAGGGACAGAGGTAGCAGACACAGCCAGGTAGCGCTTTGCTAACATGGCAACATAAGGATATCTGGCGTTTTTAATAGCTTTGGCTCGGTCTGAACTTGTTGCTTAAATGCTAGTGGGAGTTGGATTTGCACTTCAGTCTTTTGGTACCGGTGATATTCACGTTCGGGTGATGCCTTTTCAAATGAGTGTGCAAGTGTGATGTATTACCAGCCGCGTAACCAATTTAGTTGAACAATGCCGACATTATCCTTGTACGTAACTGCGAAACCAAAATGTTCCCAAACCGGAGACTTCAATGATGCTGGAGGATTTTCGAGCTCAACTTTATCTGCGTTCGCCATTTCGACAGTTCCACCTACATCCACTTCAATGTTACGGTCTGGGAACCTCTCGTGCACTTCTGCCCTAAGGGACTTCAAGAGCAACCCAATAAAAGCATAGGTATGATCGTTGACTGTGACCTGTCCTACCTCTGTGCCAATCTGTGGTCAATTGTACTATAAGGTATGGCGAATCTTTTTAGAAGTACCAGGTGGACCAAGTTACAGTAGTCTCTATGTATCATAGACACGTGAGTAGGCTACCTCATCAGTAGTGTAGTCGTAGTGGATCAAGGGACTTTCACAGAAAGTGTACGACTTAATAGGTTCTCTCCCTCAAGGTGTCATTGTCTACCTCCCTTATCCGTCATAATTACAAATGAAGTCTATCAGGTGAGTCTTTACTAGTTAGAACAGTATAAGAGAAAGGTATTCTACCGATTAGTAGTACAATTAGTGTATCGATAGTATACAAGTTGTCAGCCAGGATAATCCTAAAAATGAAGATACTTAGTATGTAGCCAATGTCGTGTCGGAAAATAGTACACAATGAGACTTATAACTTTTGTGTATGGTACAATTCTTTACATGAAATTTTTTACTTCGGGAAATTGACTTTATTAATTCGTGTACCTCGCTCAACGGGTCTCCCAATTGTCATGGCTTTAGATAGGCCATTGCCCGGGGAAGCAAGCCATGGTACACACATGGCTTGCTTATATTGCAAATTTGCATTTTTTAACCTCGTTGGCACTTGTTAAAAAACCTTCATTAAAAGTCCCACGGCGCAGGCGTCGTAAGGTCTCATTAAAACGAAGGTGTAACCCAAGTTGGCGCAGTATTCTCGCTCATTCAGTAAGTAACTGCTCTCCGTATGATACTCTCGGACCAGTGTCCCTACACCGCAAGTTTAATCA